GTTCAGACATAACTCCATCTCCCTGAGAAAAAGCTTATTTCTTTATCTGGCAGCTGTTAGACTACTTCTAAATTATAGAGGAAGCACTCAGTAAAATAATTTCTTTTGTCCGGAAAACAATTTTCTGAACTTAAACACCAATAGGTTCTTGCATCAAACTAAAATCACATATTTTTCATACCTACTTTTCCAAGATTAGGGAGAAAAAAAAATCCTTTACACTAGCAACTTCTGATGAGATTCATGTACGACCACATGCAGAACATGGCAAAATCTCCTTGGACATGGTAAGATTATTCAGATAACTTTGGTATTTCTAAATATCAGGTTTTTTTCTAAATCAAAGCCAAGCTTCACATAATTACTTAGAGTGCATTAAAATTTAAAATTATGCCAGATACAAAATGATAGGGAAGAGTTTTGATTTTTTGTGAAATATATATTTCTGTGTGAGCACAGAGATATCAATACAGCCTTTATAGTAGATAACTCAAGGTAAGTGAACAAGAAGCAAAAGGCAATCTTCTCTACTTACTACATTACCAGACAGTTTGCCTGTGGATTTACTTTCAGGTGATAACACAAACATGCTTGGTATTGTTAAAAAAATGGTTTAACAGAATAACTTTTTTTTTTTTTTTTAAACTCCCCCCAATTAACTCAGGTCTATATAGTCAAAAGACTAACCTAAGGAACTGGTCATCTCATTTTTTTCCAAAACGGTCATTGATTTTGCATGCTCTGCAACTCAAAATAAAACAGAAGCACTCAGCATCCCCACAGAGGCCCTAGTGAACTTCATCTTTCATAATGTAGAGTCTTCTAGACTAACGTATTTCAAATAAAAAATAGCAGTATAGCAATCATATAGCAACAATTCTGATCCCTGATCTAAGTTCAACACTGATATTAATTTATGATAGTGATTCTACAAGGTACAGGTTAACAGAGAAAATCCATGGCATTTAATTTGGAAATACATCTGAGAGCTCTCAAAAGTTCTGTGTATCAGCCATGTGCTTATTAAAATTTCCTATGCTGTGACAGCTCAATTAAATGTCACGTTCTTCTAGCTTGCCTTTCTTCCACTACCATTAGCTCTATAATACCTATGTATATAATAGTATAGCTTCTTCCATCACATGAATTGAAACAAATACACAAATATAAAGCATGAAGACTGCATGAGGGTTTATAATGGTAATACCAGAAAACAAACAGAAGTAAAAAAAAAAATCAAACAAATGTACTGATATTTTAAAAAGTAGACCAGTGCTTATCAGGAAGTAACAAGTTTAGAGTCTTTTCTAATGTAGTCAATAGACATTGTTCTTTATCTAACCTAAGTACAGGAAAAACTTCACAGAAGTAACGCAATTAATAGCTGATGTCAGATATGAGTAAACTGCATTAGCAAAGTTCAGAGGAATTGTTTTACATTTAATCCACACTAATTCAGCCAACTCATTACCATTAGCAAATTACTGTTTTTGCTTACAGAAAGATAAGTTAATTCCTTTAGACTATGAATGAAAATCATCCATGATATAAAAGGGGACTGCAGACTTAATGAAAACTATTCTGTTAGAAGAAAACATTAAACCATGCGTGCTGCAACAAGTATTTGTCCTTGTAGGAGAAAAGCTTCTCACATTGCAGAGCTGAGTTTCCATCTTTGTAAGCAGACTGATAGTTAATCTGATTCATTTTGTCCTATTCTAGGCTTCATATCTGTTTTCATCCTTATGCTTTAGTATTACTGGAATGAGAACAGCTGTGAATGGGCACATAACTATCATCATGTTCCTTGGAGGATCTATACATGAAGTCTGGTAGCAGCCTAAAGAAGTCTGCTCCTGTTCTGAAGAAAGGAAAAATTATCATAAATCTTCTGTCAGTATTTAGCAACATTTTTCATCATCTGCCTCTGAATTCCATCTTCTTCCTTCCACAAAAATATATTCAAGGGAATGTAATCTGTTCCTGAAGATACATTAGGTACGTGCATTTTTTTTGCAAACATATGACTTTAGGTTTTATGCAAAGGTTAAATTGCATTGCACTTGTATTCACATCATGTTTAATAACAATAATAGAGTATCTCTGTTCTCTTCCCGTTCCAGGCTCTGGCTTGCTACACTCGGAATAAGGTTAAAGTTTGGAAGCAAGGAAAAGATGATTTTAAGATGCCTTAATTTCTCTCCAGGCTTACACACCCAAGCAGAAGTCACTGTTGTTGTGAACTACATTTCCAAGTTACTTACAGGCTGCTTTGCAGCTTGAGAAAGCACTGAGCCAAAAACTGTTTACCCTTCTGATTCTATACCCAGCATAAGAATTCCTATAAAGCTGTGGAAGGTCATCAATGCACCAGGTCTATGCACACCAAATCTGAAAAAAATGGGAATGCCTATAAATAACCTTTGAACAACTTCTGTCTTCTGCACATAATATAACAGAAAAGGAATAGGTAAATTGGAATCTACTGTTTCATTTTGACCGTTGCTAAGCAATTTCCTGACAAAAGTGTCTATCCAAAAATTCAGTTTCTATCCAGAAAGAGAATACAGAACATGAACTGAAGGATCACAAAGAACCAGTCACAGTTAAAAATAAGCTGAAACAAATTGCAAACAAAAGTTGTAGTTTTCATGGGTTGTAACTGACAGAGCCATCAGCACGTTTATTTAGGATGCACTCTAGTGGACACACATATAACAGCATACGAGACAAATGTTATGAAAAGATAATAAATGAAAGACACATATTGGAAGTAGTAATTAGCCTTATTTACTAGCATGTTTTAAAGCACTGTCTTTCAACTTGAACATATTTCCTAAATAAATATGAAGGCTGTATGAAGGCCAAAGTAATCACAGCAGACATGACTGGACATAAAACGTGAAGTTACTTTTCAACTTGTGGAAATCTTGATCTAAACAAACAAGATTCAGTTATACATACTAGCTCAAAAGAGAAACTCTTATCTATTTATCCGATTACTCCATGCCTTTGAGACTGGCAACAGCAAGCTGCTGTGCACACTCTATTAATAGGTGTAATTAGAACTGAAATCTCTTAAAGTGCAGTCTTGAAATGATACTATTTTAACTGTTACTAATAAATATAATAATAAACCATGGCAAAATTGGTTCACTGGAATATCAACCAAAAGGGCATATTCATTCCAGAGAAAAGGTTCTTGACTGTCATAGAAATTGCAAACTTATACCAAGGCAGAATAAATGCAGATAGCAAAGCCTGACCACCTGGTCACAAACGCAGTTCCATCTTTCATTACTTATAAAGTTATACAAGCATTTCTAAGTATTTATACTTTGAAAGTTACATTTTTCTCTTTTGATTTTACGGAGGTTCATATAAGACATTGCAATTAACAGCATCCAAAAAGCAATATGGCAATAAAGATGGCAACAGGATTTTAAAAATAAATGCATTTCATTATTTTTAAGGGAAAAATAATATATTACCATACTAGAAATCAGTAGTGCTTACTTTTTAAAAAACCAATATGACCATGTCTATTATGAGCTACATAAAGATAACAAGTTATTTAGAGCAGAAAAATATTTATTTCATGATTGACCTTTGCCTGTTGAGTATATAGGTATTTTTAGCAGTTTGCCAAAGACAGCAAAAGCCTTAAAGACAGATATAATATAAACAAAGTGAAATTATCCTCAGAATTTCTTTTATCCTTAAACTGAAGAATGCAGCAAACACACTAACTATGCACTAAATTTGTAATGAAGAGCATTTTCATTATGCAATAGCAATGACTTAATGTTAATTGTTCAGCTAACCTGTACTATTAGAAGACATTGAGATGCAAAAGCACATTTTAGCCAAGAAGCATAAGATTCCTTAATGCTGGTGTCTTTTCCATTTATAATGAACAGGCACAGAGTATTCTTGACAACCTTTACCAAGATATCAGTGATTACAGAAATTTGTTCTTATAAAAATTAATGCAGTGTTTAAGGATTATAAAATTTAGTTTTATAGGTAAATATGAATCAAACTGAATATTCTTCCATTTTTTTTTAAAAGTGGAGCTTTGAGAACTAATGGTATTTAGTAATGACAACATAGATGTAATTTGTTAATTTGAAAACTCAACATAAATGGGGAAAATATTATTTTAAGACTTGACTAACCAAAACTGATATACAGACACTTGCAGCTCACCTAATATCACACGATAACCAGAAAAAATTATTATAAAGCCTACAGCAAACACCTCGTGTTATTAAAAAGCACCTTGTGTTTTCTAAGACAGACAAGATCTTTTAGTACATCTGACTATTGAGTCACATAGAGTCCAATTTATCTCTTCCAGATAAACTGACAAATCTTCTGATTTGAATTTTTGCATGTAGTTTGATGTGCAGAACTCTATAATTTCTAGAGCATTCCCTCTATCAGAAACCATTCAAATTCTTGGAAAACTCTTTTTCAAAATTCTTTCAGTATTGATTCAGATTATCATATTGTAGCCACTACTCCAAAATAAACATAGATTCTTTAGATTGATAAAGATCTTTAAGATCATTGAGTCAAACCACAGCACTGTCCACCACTAAACTATGTGCTTCAGCACCACATCTACACATCTTTTAAATGCTTCCAGGTATGGTGACTCCACCACCTCCCTGGTGGGAGAATCTTGACACATTAATTATATCTATGATTATTATAGCTATACTAAAGAATCAATAGGCAATATAAGGAGAAAATAAATTTACTGTTTTCATTTCAACTGCAGTTTTCTTCCTCTGAGTCAGCCATGCTAGCTACAACGGTTTAAGAACAAAAAACGAGGCATCGCATGTCAGAATTAACAGACTTTATACAAACACCCAGAAATCACATAAATTGAAACAACAGGTATGTAAATCAGTTCTACATATAAAATACATAAATTAAGACATCACACTTCAGGATCAGCAAGTATTGAGTAGAAGATATATTTCCTGCTTTCAGATTGGTTGGGAACTTTCTTGTTCTGTTTCTGCCATGAGATCTGTTACACTCTAAGAAAACAACAATAAAAAATTATCTAAGTTTCCATCATTAATTGAACTTTGTAAACAGCAAAACATGAGGAAAAAAGAAACAGAAGAATCCCACATTGCAGACAAGTTGGTATTCATCAATATAGTTATGTATGCTTCCATTAATTGAAATATGATGCAGTTTATCACTGGACTTTCATTATAAAATCCAGTGAGTCAGGATGAAGTATTACAATTATGAGAGTAGTATATTTTCCATAGTACAAGTCTATATACTTCAATTGTTTTGATCTTTTCTTAATTTGTAGTTTAATTCAAAAAACATATAATTGTAAAACCTGAGATAGCATCACCAAAGGCCAACATAATCCTACTTTAAATGACTTTAGGCACAAAAACTTGAAAGATGGTACATATAAGAATAAGCAGGTAAGTTTACTACTAATTTTCACTTCTGGTTTTGCAATTCACTTACAAAAGAACACACAAAATACGTCTGAAGCCTCAAGAAAACTTTTACCATGTAATTACCAGAAAACTATGAAAATTTGGGCTATATCTTGAGAACTTGTCTGATTTACCATATTGAAAAAAACCCTGAAAACCTGACCCTAAAAATAGTCTTATTTTCATAAATGTAGAGAACAATTATAAATAAGGCTGTTGCTAAAGTAATCTTAAGCATAAAGCATATTAATATCACAATATAAATTCTGAGCTAGCTTTACACTACTGATACCAGGAAGTAAGCTAAGGAATTATTAAGACTAATAAATGAAGGATTCTGATAATGATATACTAAAACTAGTATGTCAAAATCTCAAGTCAAAATCTCAAGTCAAAACACTGGTATACTCTTAGCTGGAAAAAGTCAGACAAATATCAATATATTTATTATCTGTGAATACTCATAAAGCTGAATGATTTCACAGGCAATGGCATCATCTCTTAAATACTGCCATTTCTTACAATAAATGAAGGCCAACTCACGTTCTCTCATTTCCCTGGACTGCCCAGTATAAAAAGAATAGAAATTAAAACAAAACAAAACAAATTGGGCATAGAAGATGTCTGAGGATCACAACACAGAACCAGCCATAGTTGTAGTACTGAAAGCACACGTCAGCACAGGGCTCAGATAACCTGATTCTCAGCTGGTCCTAGCTTTATTGAGCACTGTGTGTCCTTAGCATCTCTTATACGTTACATGTTTTTCAGATATATTTGCTGCACAAAAAAATATGTTTCACACCCACCAGAAAAATATAAATAAATTCAATCGCTCCAAAGCAAGTCATCTTTGTGATTTAGTGTGTTGTAGATGTCTAACTGTTCACATGGCAAAGGAAGGCAGCCCCTTTTTTGGGAATATTCATACTTTCATTACTAATATATCTGAGTAAAAAAGGGCATTTTACATCTTGAAGATGTAGACACCAAACACCACACAGTCTTTTAGAATGGTTTAGCTTGTAGGAGAGAACAAGCTAGAGCAGTTTGGAAGTCATGGCACAAACACCATCCCTTAAAACCATAGGAGAGAACCAGCAGTTTTAACTACACCAGTTTAACCTTTGATATGTCAGCACAGAAAAGCAAATCTGTAAGAATCAATCATTTATAATCTTTCTGTTCTTTCTAAACACTTACCTCAGACTGTTCACTCTCATCTACCTCCTTCACTCTGGTCAAATTGGGTGCTCCAGGTGTATCTGTAAGTTCAGCTATTGTGTTTTCACTTTCCTACAGCAATGAAAACCAGTTTTCAGTTAAGTGTTCCATGCCATGAATAATTAGCTATGGAGAATATTTCAGATGTGTTAAAATGAAATAATGTGTATTAATATAAAATGAATACTTTAGATGAGTGCCATCCAAAGGTGTTAATATGTGAATATGGTCTTTGTATGCTTAAGACTATTTTTTCATTAAAAATAATAACAAGAATTTTGTTTTAAGTTAGTACATATTCACTTTTTCTGTCACCTTCATACAGCCATCTTTCTACAATTATGTTCTGTCAGTATTTTAACAGTGTTCTAAAAGCATACACATCTCTAAAATATCAAGTGTTCCACATAAATCTAAGATATATTCAAATTTAAAAGTTTATTGAGATAAACATGCAAATTATCAGTGTATGTTTTAATGAAATAGCTTTAAAAGACCATACATTTACATGGACATCTGTATATGCACTCTTTTGCTAGTACAAATTCCTGTGCACTGGGAAGATCTCAGAATCATGGGGCATCCCAATTCTAAACCACAATTTCTTTTCCAGGTGCAGCAAATGGACTTTGCATTGGCACAGTGTAAAACATTACTGTCCAGACACAAAACATCACCTTAGCTGATCTACCACTAAATTTTGCAATAAATTTATGCTTTGTTCTGATTATAAACTAAAAAAACCTAACAGAACAAACGAAAATTCAAGTAGAAAACCTAGACTGGAAGCAAGCTGGTAGATATTCTTCTCCTTTTTTTTTTTTTTTTTTTTTTTTAACTGGTGTGTTCATTCAACACCCACAGGCTTCTGGCTTGGATTTCATATTTAGCGCCTGCACCTGGAAAAGAGAGCTGTTATTTTCAAACCACTGACTAAACTTTGGCTTAAACCTCTTGATCTTTCTCCTGCAACAGTGTTTTGCCATCTTCATTCTGCAGTTCCAGCTCCTCATGTTCTTGTTCCAAATGACCCTGCAGTCAGTTTAAAAAGAAAAACTTAGAAGGAAAACAAAAACCACGTTCATCTTCCCCATCCCATTGCTTACAATGTATTTCATGATTGAAATCTTAAATAAAATTTAAAAGGAAGCATAAAACATAACTGCAATGTTAATAACATAAAGCCCTTTCAGTACCACCCAACTCAGTGTTTGTTTCATAGGGTTTAGATGCCCATGGATAGAAAGGCTTTACTATCAAGAGGAAGGAGAAATAGACAACTGAAGTTAGTATACACACTTCAGATGCTGTCTCGGTCCATATGTTCATCAGTCTATATTCATTACCTCCTATACTTTGGATTGTCTTTGATACTTTGTATAGTGTCTAGCACATACAGATGAATCCATATGGAACCATAAAGGAGCCTGGCTGTCCTGAGATGGCTAAACACCTGCCTGCTGATGGGAAGTGGTGAATGAACTCCTTGTTTTCTTTGCTTGTGTGTGCAGCTTTTGCTTTACCTATTAAACTATCTCTAACTCAACCCATGATTTTTCTCACTTTTACCCTTCCAATTCCCCCAACCCACTGTGGGAGAGTGAGCAAGTGGCTGTGTGGGGCTTAGTTGCTAGCTGGGTTTAAACCATGACAAGTTACTATAATATGACTATATTTGTGTTTTCACATTCCTTTTCGGTACCCTTAAACAAAACATGCCTGGGTACATGACTGGGGCCAACATTGTCAGTTAGGTTAAAAAATGTATCTAATGTATTGTTCATCATCTTTCCTGTGGTTTATGTTAAATAATTTAATTATCTGTGAATTATGTCTAGACACAAGCTCATATTCTTGCTTCCCTTTATTATTTTTAAATGACTCATTACATTCTTAAGCATGAAACTTTTGGTCTGCAAATTAGTAAATTCCAAATTTTAAAAGTGCAACTGAAATAGAACGAATGCATCTTACACTAAAACTGGGCTAAATGAGATCAGCACAGATTTAAAATTACACTGCTGATTTTTACATTATGAAAATCAGCTGTGTAAAAAACATCCAGTCAGATAATGTCAACATTACACATTGTTTGACCACACTGTTACACGTGTGTTCAAATTCACACAACTCCTTTATAAAGGATAGCTAGAAACACGGATGATACCTAAAGGCATCATATTTAAAGTCCATACAGGGTAAGATTCAAATTGCTTCATTCCAACAGAATGCTCAGGTAGCTAAGAAAAGAAAAAGGTGATGCAATGGATCAGGCTATACATCCTGCTTAAATATGCAATTTTCATTGATTCTCAACTATTTTCAGGATTCTATAACTGTGTCTACATTCTCACTACCTTTATTTTGTGCAACTGATATTACATTGAAGTAGCTTGAGATAATAATTGGTTATTACTCCCAGGCCTTCTAGCAGGCCTGTCAAAACATTTTTTGCAATGATTTCTAGCTTTATTTGCACAATCTCCTTTCCATATTTAACAGACTACTTAGAACACAGAACCTACTCAGAACACAGACTACTTATTTTAAGTTACTTCTGATGTAAGTCTGAAATTGGTTCCTTTTTTACCTTAGGCTACTTCATTTTTTTAATAACATTTTACCACATGGTATGTCAGTTTTCCTTCCCATGTGCTGACTAATCATTGCAGTTATTATTTAGAAAAGTGAGATTAAAATACATGTTTTATGCTACCTTCTACTGAAATCATACAGAAATTAGAAGTACACAGAGAACTACAAGATGCCACAGCATCATATACTATCTGTAATTATCTACTAAGTATTATTCACCTGATGTTGTTCTTCAAGTTTCTGCTGGATCATTAGCTCTTCCTCCTTCATTCTTGTTAACATTTTGAGTTCTTCCAGGGCTGCCTCCCGTTCTTGCTCCTGCTCAATCCTCTCCAACATCCTCTATTTCAGGGACAAACACATAATACATTTAAAAAAATAGAAATTAAATAGCATCAATTACATTGTTATGATTTTTTTCTCCCAGAATGGATCCACCTTTTTTTCTTCATCTAAGATTCTTTTGTAATTGTAAATCCAGTGTGCCAGATACTCTATTGGATCTGCTGGCTGACGTTCTACAACCTCTGCCAGTCCCTTTTTCAAGCAACTTCCCAGGCATCTCTTCAGATACCAGGACTCCATTCACATCTACAAACAACAAACAGACAGACATTAGGCATCAATATCAGAATTAGGGGGTTTTTGCCTCAGGCACCAAATACTGAACATTATGCTACTCTTTTTATTAATCTGGTAGTCAATAGAATAAAGTAATTAAAATTTAATATTTGTTTAGTTCTTAAAGGCTGCAGTGATAGATCAGTTATACCAAGTTGATATATATAGCTTGATATGTATAATATGATGTATTTTCTTTATACTAGAAAAAAGTGCTCAACATCACCCTTAGTGTTCAGGAACATGTCATTTAGAAACTGCTTAGAAATATGCTGGTAATTCCAGGTCACCATGATAGCAAAAAAATTTAAAAGCACACCAGGACACAGAAAACTTTTATACAGCTATCTGTAGAACAGGAAAGTAGCTCTGCGAATAATTAAGGATAGATTTTAGTTTGAACTAAAACTGTCTTTTACGACACACATTCAAGACACGGGCCTGAAGCGGCAGCACATCGTAAAATAACTCTCAGGGCTCTGAAGGTTCTAGAAGACGTTAATGGTCCCAACCGCTTTCACCTGGCGCCTCCACCTACGCCCTCCGCCCCCGGGATCCATTTAAGCACAGGCTGGGGACTTTGCCTCTCCCCTGCGCTACGCGGGCGCGCTCCGTAGCTCTGCCCCTGTGGTACCGTTCGGCCTCCTCTAGCACTCCACGGACGGACTGATGCTGGTGC